GTCATGGTAAATGCGGACACTATTTCAAATGTAGCTTAAACAAGTGTTCACATGAACTTTTAAAAACAGAATTTTCTTCTTGTTCCCACCAAATGAGAACCTGTTATGTAGATTAAATGTAAATTAGACACTACTAATTCCTTATGTAAACATATTTTTCAACACTTTTATTATACCAGAAGATGAATTAAAGAGGAAAATTAGCCTAAATGATCCTATTTTACTTACGATGAAAAAATAAACACATTAAAAAGACATATGTTTTGTGTACTCCAAACATTATAGTGATTATAAATTCTGTGTTCCTGGATTATAAAACATGAAAATATGGTTTGACTACACTACATATGGTTTATCAAATCCTTCGGGCTTAAATTCTGCTCATTATTATTCCAAATGCTGGAGGCTGCCTGATGTTCACCCACCACCCTTGACAGTTCGGATAAAACTGATGATTCAGTCCCTCTTTCATGAGCAACTGCATTCACTTTAAACTTGCTGTAGGTCTGTAATAGGAAACAGCTGATTTTCAAAGTGTTTGAATGAAGATGAAGATCCTTTCAAATTAAAAAGGACAAAAAGATTAAGACGCCTTGAATACGTTCATGACAAAGCATTACATGTACTTAGAGGCCTTCACTGACCTTTGGCTCTTGTATTAAACATTTTTCCACTGAAGTCCTTTGTTTATTAAAATTCACTTCAGAAATGAAGCAAAGGAATGTACACTAACATTCAAAAGCTTGGGGTCAGTAAGATGTTTTTAAAAGTCTCTTATACTGCAGTTATTTGATCAAAATACAGTAAAATGTAATATTGAAATACTACATTTTAATATGTTTTTTTTATTTTAATACATTTTGAAATGTAATTTATTCCTGTGATACCAAAACTGAATTTTCAGCATTATTACTCCTTTTTATTAATACTTTATTTTATTATACTTTATATTATTATTAATGATAAAAACAGCTGTGCTGCTTATATGTTTTCAGAGACTGTGATGCTTTTTTAAGGATTCCTTGATGAATTGAACATTCAAAAGAATTGCATTTATTTGAACTAGAAATCCTTAACATTAAAACAACATTTACTTTGTAATCAGTTACAATGCATTTCTGCTGAATAAAAGTATTAGCCTAATACTTTCAAAAACAAATCTTACTGACCCCAAACTTTGAAAAAGTATAGCGTAAATCTAGCACAGGTTCATAAAACTGTAACTCCAACAGAGGGCGTCATTTAGTTAAAGACAACTCATTCATTTGCAATATGGTCAAATTGTCCAAATGCAGCTCGTCATTCATAAAATGATTCTGGGAAAAGTCTGCAAAACAGTTTATTTATATGATTTGTTAAAATTTCACAAACATTCAAACTTTTTCCAATAAGCTCAGTGTCAGTGATTGATGAGCATATTATTATGATTGGATTATAAAGCTCCTCCCTTCATTTAAGTATTAACCACCCTTATTAATGTGCATAAGCATAGTGTTAATGTTTGATGGACATGCCATGGTACTCTAAAACAAATGGCTTTAATCCAAGAGTGAAATCATGAGCTAAAACAGATTACGTAACCCTGCCTCTGGCTGCTTGGACTGCTCACAGTCATTGTCTTATAGGAAGAAGGAAATAGTGAGATCCAGAGAAAGTGTCCAGCTTTACTATGGTTTATTTTGCATGCCTAAGTGACCGGCGAACACAGAGATATTGTGTAAGACCGTGTAATTTAAACCATGATGTTTGGCATCACACTGCTAGCATTGTGTTTTGCTCCAAACTTTTTAAAGATGACATTAAATCTGACTGGGAGAAGAAAAAGGGGTTCTGAAACCAAAATACTCTCAGTGTGAGTGGATACGACCTTCAGGGACAAAACATTGCTTAGTATGAACCTCCATATTGCCATGGTATGAGTAAGCTTTATCGTTCCTTTGTGAGGGATTTTTTTTTTTCTTGAGATTTGTGGGCTCTGTGATTACTTATTCTTCAGAAATAGAGTTCATGACCTTCATAAACTAGTCTACACTGAAATGAATAGGTCCATACTTCACTAAAGCTTAATCCTGTAAATCCTGAAATAACAGTCAGAAAAATGTAGCCTATAAGTATCATATTTGAAACATCAAGCTTTTAATGGACCATATAGTATGATACGGAGCTCATACAAGGGAAATAATGTCTTAATTTTATTTAGAGGCCCAAACTGAACAAAAATATGCAATTTGGTGCTGATGCTGATATTTATATGGTCAAAAAGTAAGATAAAATTCTGATTGTTAAGTAAATCACTGAGATCTTTATAACAGTAGCAGATTACTTTAAAATGCTAAATAAGATGATATTTAAATTCTTAGTTTAATGACCAAAAACATATAATGCTATGCAATACAATGATGATTGAGAGATGGGCAAATACATGTTCCTCAAACGCCTAATGTATCATATTTGATACTCACATTTCAAAATTAGTTACAGTCAGTTTATGACAGGCCAAATTCAGAAAAAGAATATTGAGCATTTGCACCATTATTGTTCAGGAAAAAAAGATAGGCCTACAGTTTGTTGAACACAAGGGGCAAATTGTCACAATGAAATATGCCATTAAAGGTTTTCTATGGAGCCAGAATGATCTCAATAATAATTCACGCAAAAGACGCGATGCACACATGCGTAACCCAATTCACATGCTTAAGAAATATTTCACGTGCACGAAAAAAAAAAAATATATTTACAAAAACCAATTCACATGCACAGCATGTGAATTGGGTTACGCATGTGTGCATCGCGTCTTTTGCGTGAATTATTATTGAGATCATTCTGGCTCCATAGTTTTCTTCTTCTTTCTCTTAAATTTTTCAAGAAACTCACAGCTAAAGTAGCCTAGTTCCAGGCAGGCCTTGACCGCATTACAGCTCCATATCACTTCGCCAAATTATTTTTAGTTATTTCAAAGATCCTTGCAGCCTACAACAGCAAAAGAACCAAAACTCACAAAACACTGACCAAGCCAATAAATATAACAAATTACTATTTTTCCAACGAAAGTTTTATTATCTATGGAAAACATCTCTCGCTCTGTCTCATAAACGCACAAACAGGCTACTGTAGACTACATTACAGACACACACTCGCACACACACGGATACATACACACACACACACAACGTGCTGTCAGCGATGGCTAGCGACTTTATCATTAAAATAGTTTAGCAACTGAAAAGCTACATGACTTTTCTCAGTAGAGAGGTGCTAACTTTGCTTCTTAACGTGTTCAAACCTGTTTTTATACAGTCTATGGTTCAAATTTACAGTTTCGCTATTGGATGCGGTGCTGCCGAACGCTGTTGACGCACAGACGCAGGTAATTTACACACGCTCTCTCTCTTTATCTCTCTCTCTCTTAACTTCAGACTGCATTAATAATAATAATAATTTTTATATATAATAATAATAATAATAATTAATAACTGCATTATCAATGGCTCAAGCATCGTATAGCTCTAAAACCACGTTTTGGAATGAGCAACGTAGGGATTAGATGAGATGCGTAAGAAACGAGAGTTTTAAGGACAAAAACCTGACAAATGTCTTAATATAAAACATCTGAGCAATGGCTTGAGATGTGGTAATATAAGCGGAGCAATTGACGACAGTCTGTTAAATTATTAGAAAATAATGCATAGAAAAGTGTATTTGCTTCCGCATTAGGTGTGCGCCGACACTGCCCCAGCCTGAAATATAATGCTTTCTTTTGGCGTTTTTTTTTTTGATGACAGAGACTGTATAGAAAGGATGATCCTAAATAAAATGAGCTTGACTTGAGCTTCCATCGCCACATGAGCAGCACGTGCCTGAGCAAGTGCAACTCCTAGGCCACTTCTCTACAAGCTAGTTTTTTTTTTTTTTACTATTATTCAATGTGTCACCCCCCCTTTTCATGCTTTCATTCTTCAACATTGATTCATACTTTGTCCTGCGGGCCAGATATTTCCATCCATCAGAGTATCAGTCCTGTCTCCACTTGTAGATTTCTCTTAAAGTAAGCATGTAGTGTGCAGGTAAGCGCATATGTGTGTCTGGATGCCTGCATGCATTGACATTAGGTGGGTATAGGCTATCTGAGTATATGCTGAAACACACTGACAGCCAGAGCCCATAAAACCCCAGAGCCTAAGCGCTGGGTGACACCTGAAGACAAATCACAATCAAGAAAACAACCACTGGCAAACCGAGCTGTCTGACACATGTATCAAGTGGGGGGAAAAATATTGTGAATCATATTTTACACAAAATATTAATGAAATAAAGATCCATATAATCGGATCATACTTAATGTTGCCTGATATTCCAGCAAAATATCTAAACATCCTTAAAAAAAGACAAAAGTAGCAAAATTGCATAGACTAATTTTCAGTATAGCTCATTCATTTTATTAATTTATTTGAGTTTTAAACATAAACCTGGCATATATATAT